TCCATTAAGTTGTCTGTTCAAATTATTATACATTTCATACCCAGTATTTTGAATTAATTCTTTTTTATAAACATGTACTCTGTTATACCAATATTTTTTTTTTATCTTTTGAAGATAGTTTCTTTTCTTTTTTTAAAATCCTTTTTTCATCTGGTCAAGAAATTCTGCTTCTTCTCATACAAGATGTTAAATATCTGTCTTCTGAAGCAATTGTCTTCCTCAGATAAATTGCTGTGCTTCCCTCCAGTCACCTTTCCCCTGGACATATCAACCACGAGGCTGATGATGAGTATGGGGAGAAGTAGCTAAAGTAGCCCAGGCCCTACTTAGCCACCCATAAATTTAGTACTTGGGAATAGAAGTGTCTCAAGGTAGAATATTTACAAACTGTTCCACACCAGGCAAATTTATTTACCTCCACCAATATTATCTTACTGGGATATAATTTTCTCACCTTCAGTTTCATAAAAAGAGGTGGGGATAAGAAGTAATAAATGGCAATGGCCAACCAATCTACTTATATTTCTTGTTATCTACACCCCATCTCAGCCCGATGATATAATACGATCCCATGCCCAAGTTAAAACAGCATGCTGTTTTTCTATCTTGCATTAATTACTGGCTGGACAATGGTTTTCCAAAGCAATGCCAGTGGAAGACAGGGAACAGGGAGACATCACAACTAAAGATTTGTCCTTGTACCTCTCCCTCTCATTGCACCTGGTTCTCTTCTACTTTGGAGGACTGTTTCCCCCTTACACTAGAACATAACCAGCTCTGTTTCCCAAGATTTTTTACAGTAAATGAATACTCCTACCAAGAAATGGAAAGTATTAAACAGTTAATAAGTGTGTAACATAAATATTCTACTTAGATCCATCAACCTCCCTCCCATTTCTGCGCATCTCTAGGATTGAGCTAGGGAGTGAGGCATAGCAGCTCATGTTAGTCACCCTGTCCATCATCAGTTGATCTGTGTCATTTAGACATATTTCTTAAAAATCACGTTTCTGAAAGCTCTTTCAATTTCTCAAAATACATAAACGCGCCCATTACTCTATGTGAGTTTTCAGTTTTCTGCCTGAAAAATGATATAATATTAATCTATGTACCTTATTTAATAGAAATAGGAACCAAAAAAACAACCTGAGGCTAATTAAGCATAAACTACCTCAAGCTTTAATTCTGGCACTATTTCAATTCTCAGTTCTTTGTTTATGATTCATATAATAGTTCACTTTAGACAAATTAATTAGTTGTGTGTGTCAAGCTAGCTAAATGCATGCTAAATATTTTCCCAAGAGAACTAAGTTGAAACTGGGTGCTATTAAAACCTTCAAATGAACAAAATCTGTTTTTAACAAGTCACACATTATTAATTGGAACTGGATAGTGAGGCATATTTTTGGATGCTTGCCGAGAATAATTATGGAACTTTTTTCTTATTTTATTGGAACAAGACAAGTTAATCAAGAAAAGCTAATCCAGCTCATTATGGCCAAAGCTTGAAAGCATGGCCATAAACTACTCACCTTTCCAGTTTGGGTTAGGGTTGAAAAAGTAAGTGGGATCCAGGGATCATGCTTATGCTATAGTTGATACCTTAGAGAGATCTTTGCCCAATTTATTCATTTTAAGTAGGCAAAACATTGGCTATCCAGAAAAATAATATTATTGACCCAAAGTCACACAGCTGGTTAGTGGCAAGGCCAGAATTATGAAATAAATATTTATTCTGCCATGTCCAAAAATGGCTAAAAAACAATGCTTATTCAGTAAGTTTTATTATATATCTTTCTACATTAAATCCAGATAGTACTTAAAAAAAACTTGTTATAAAATGTGTATAATTTTTTAAATAAAAATATGTTTCCAAATAATGGAGCCATTTCCAGGAATGATTCGTTTTCTGCCATAATATACTTTTTTCCTGATTTGTGTTTGCTTAGTATCCACTCACTCTTTAAGGAATTATCTTGCCTCTATTATGCACAGTCATGGTAGAACTCTTATTCAGTGTGTTACTGCTTACCCCCTAACCTAAGCAAGTTTAATCAGATTCTCTCTTTGAAGGCTTTAAATCTTGAAAAGCATGATGCTGGTGCAGGAAAAAATATCAGGTGAAGCATGTTCATTTGGAGTAGTTATTGTAATCTAAACCCACAGATCTTCTGAGTGTAGAAGTAGCTTGACTCTTTACTCTTCTCATCACCTTCCCATTGCTCTTCTTATCATCCAGCTAACTGATGTCCATTTTTCTCTGTATGAATTAGCTAGAATTAGTTTCTACTGCTTGCAGTCATTGGGGTCTAACTGATCACTTATTATCTCTGTGTCTGAATCAGGATGTAACCTGAACCACATTGTTGTTTGTAGCCAGGAATGATATTGTTCCAAATAAGAATTGAGCTGGAACTATTCACATGTCCTACTGTTTCATTTGCTTGACCTTATATAAAAAAACCACAAAGAACATATGAGTTGACATAACTGTGAGCAAAACTTATTTATGATTATTAGACATATCTAGCCCTAATACTCACCTTAACTCAGTATCCAAATGAAAAGAAGCAACTGCTCTCATGCTTGAGGCTCAAGAGAAACACAAATGTATTACGGGTTCTCTAAGGAAGGCTCATAAGAATAAAAGTCTTAGACATGGAGAGATTTCATACAATCTGCTTGTACTATTGAATTTTAAAATTTTGGTTGCCATGATATCTATTTTAAAGAAATGGAAAACTGAATATGTGTGTTATCAGAGACTCTTCCGAGTCATTCTGTTGAACTGAGAATGAGATCTAATTCTTTATTTGAGGCAACACGTTTATTGGGCATGAAAAGATGGTAAACAGAATTAAAAATGTGAATGCATGGACTAGATTAAAATGAGAGGTAAAGTTTGCACTAATCTAATAGAAAAAGCATTTGAGTAAAATGCTTTTGCATGGATGAAATTTTACATGAGTCTTTAAAAATTGTTCCAAACCTTTATCCACTCTCCACATCAGAAGATCTTAAAAGATAAAAGGACACACTAGCAATTTACAAGTACGCCTGGACTGGAGGGCCTTGATGATTCTATTAACACAGGCTTTGAAGTAGCTTGATATAAAGCACATATGCTGTCTATAAATACAGCTTATGGTTGGCAAATATTCTAATAAAATTGATTTTGTTCATACCAAAGGAAATGACCTTGCAATGGATGAAACGGCCTTTAAAAATACAATAAGGCATTTAAGTATCTTTGTCTGCTCTCAAAAATTTCAAAATGTCATCCAAAAGAAGTCTACAACTTTGTGTAAACAAATCCCTTTATCAAGTGTGTCAGTGTATGTCAAGTCAGGTTGCTCAGGCAGCAAAATCAATGCCATCACAACATCAATTTTCCAAGATTTTAAAACACCTACTTTTGACAAAAAGTCAAATAACAGAAAAGTGTCAATTACCATAGATTGGATAAAAGAACCACAATGACTTTTTCCAGGAAAAAAATATAGCATTGTCTGGCAACTTTTTGCACTATGATAATAAACACCTAACAAATAAAAAAAGGAATTGTGATATCCGGATTACCTAGGGCATGAGGAAACAAACACTCTCAAAAACCATTGATGGAGAGTAAAAAGTGAAACTCTTTTTGAAAGAAACATCTTCAACGTGTCTACCCTCTGACATAGCAATTGTGCTCCTGGGAATTTAGTTCTACAGGAGGCATTTGTGTAGTGATTCAGTGTATTCTCATGTGAGACTTCCTGAATTCAACCCTGGTTCTGTATCATACAAGTTAGGGGAAACCTCAGGGCAGGGAACTTCAGAGCCACTGCTGGTAAAAGATGTTCAAACTGGATGTCAGCCCCAACTTGCCACTTCAAACAGGTGTTCCTGTGCAAGGAACATCCTGCATCATCTGAAAAGAGTAGGCAAGGATTATCAACTTTATAGGGTTATTGTGAGGTTCAAACGAGATTATCTGTATAAAGTGTAGTGCCTGGCACACAGTGAACACTCAATAAATGATAGTTGTTATTTTCTTATCATACTCTACAGAAAATCAGTGTTTGAAGAAAATTATTGTGATATTTATTACAGCACTGCTTATAAAAGTAAAGATTTTGAAGTTATCTATATATCATTCAAAATCTAGTACAGCCTTGACATTCTATAGACTTTCTTTTTCTCCAGTGTTTTTTTGAGGTAAAATACACATAACACAGAATTTACTACTTAACTATTTTAAAGTGTACAGTTCAGTGGGATTAAGAATGTGCGTGTTGCTGTGCAACCACCACCGTCATCCGTGTCAAGGACTCTTCATCTTGCAAAACTGAAACTCAATAAACTTAAAAAATGATGAGGTGGATCTATGGGTAATACCATAGAAAGATGTACATGACATATTATTAGAAGGAAAGTTGGAGAGTTGTAGTATAATCTGGATCTATTTTCCAATATGAGAGAGAGAGGGAGAGAGTGTATTTAAGGGGTTATCCCGTCAGCACTAATTTTCTGGAAATTGCCTTTCCTCCCATTCAGTGGTTAGTAGAGAAGCTTCCCCGTTAGTACAATGTGACACAGTATAATGATCATCATTGCTATCTCATTATTATGCTGATTAAATGAATTAATACTTGTATAGCGGTTACATCACTGCTGGGCACTTAGCAAATGTCACAGAAATGTTTTTTTTTTTTAAACGCTTTTTATTTTATTTTTTCAAATTTATTTATTTATTTTTGACTTCGTTGTGTCTTCGTTGCTGTGTGCAGGCTTTCTCTAGTTGTGGTGAGCGGGGGCTACTCTTCGTTGTGGTGCGCAGGCTTCTCATTGCGGTGGCTTCTCTTGTTGCAGAGCATGGGCTGTAGGCACACGGGCTTCAATAGTGTGGCATGTGGGCTCAGTAGTTGTGGCTCGTGGGTTCTAGAGTGCAGGCTCAGTAATTGTGGCGCATGGGCTTAGTTGCTCTGCAGCATGTGGGATCTTCCCGGACCAGGGCTCGAACCCATGTCCCCTGCATTGGCAGGCAGATTCTTAACCACTGCGCCACCAGGGAAGTCCCTCTATTCTTGATACAATGAAAGTCTGGAAAAGATCTCGATATGTGTCCTCTAAGATAGATAGGAGAATAATAGCCACTGAGAAACTATTCTTTTAGTCACCTTGATTTTATAAAACTGCTGCTACTACTACTAAAAGTGACAAAAGCAACATGAAAGTAATAGCTAATATTTCTTGAAATCCGTGTCGGTCACTGGGCCAGTGCTTAACTAGCACTATCTTATGTAATCTTAACAAGGCTATGGAATAGATACAAATATTCCTGTTTCACATGTGAAGAAATGAAAGCTTAGAGGGTTTAAATAATTTTCCCGGTAAGTGTTAGAACCAGGTTATAGGGTCACAGATGTCCTATTTCTAGAGGAGCTTTCTTAATTATCACTAAGCATCATAACCCCATAATGTACTGCATATAAATGCACACAGATATATGTTTACTACACACATGTGTGTGCATATGTACTATAATGTAACAAAGAATTAGATCCAGCTACGTACCAAGTTTTAGAATGCTAAACCATTGACATTTTCTAGACCGTCGTCTATACACCCTACTTCTCATTGTATTACACTCATTTATTTATGTGTCATCTCTCCTGGACAGGTACAATTTTTTTCATCTGTGTACACCTCTGGTTTAACAAGTAGTGCATACATAATAAATTTCACTAAATTTTATAATATTGAAATCGAATTTAGAAATGTTTTAAAATAGCAAATCCTATAGTCTCCATTCTGGTTACATTTTTGGAGACCTTTGCCATTGGGATTTGACTCTCAAACCGAACCTCTTGTGTATACAACTTCCTCAGGATTACTTTCCTTGTATATTTTCTGCATTACTCACATATAAAGTGACCAGTCTGCCCCCTCTAGTTACAATGACTGAGTCCTGTCTAGATAATTCTTAAGACATTTTGACATACTCAACTCACTAATTTGTTTTTCCCTAACTAAGATGTTAGGATTAACTCTTTACCATATCTATAAAAATATCTATTTTTAATTTAAGAGTTATACACCATTGAAAAATACCACTAGTCAAAACAGAACTTCTTCAAAGTAACATTATACAGTCATTCCTCCATTCACATCCCAAAGAAGCCCTTCATACCTTCATACTGTCAGCTTCATTTCCAAAGCTTCACTACAGTGTAAGGACAAGCCTTTAGAGACAACTTATGTATTTCTTCACTCTTTCTCTAGAATGAGTTTCACAATCTGCTTCTGAAACTTAATCGAAAGAAATGCTTCATGGTATCTTGTAATTTCTCTGCTGTTTTATTTCCTCTAATATACAGCACAAAGACGTAAAGAAGAAAAAAACCATGTACATAGGTGCGTGGTAAGCTGGATTTCTGTAAATCTTTGAATAACTATTTCCAATCTAGGAAGAAACCACAATTACCTTCAGAACTCTTTATACACTTGGGCCATCCCTCTGGGGAGGCTACTCTATTTATATTCTGTTATTTCCCTCAGATAGCATATAAAATAAACTTTGCTCAGAACTTGCCATTGTTTAAGATAAATATTTAAGCTTATATTTTATTCTAAAGCAAAAAGAAAATGATTTTATCTAACAGCCATAAGGGCAATAGTTGCCGTAATAATAATAATATAATAATAATAATGACAATAACAATAATAATCTTCTGTTTATTGAGACCTTGCACATTATATGTATCATCTCAGTTAATTCTTACAACAACTTGACTATGTAAATATTTTTATTACCATTTTGTTGCTAAGGAAAACTAACACTCAGATTAATTGCCAAAAGTCACACAGCTAACTATTTACCCATACATACTTACCAGGCCTCTTTGATTCTAACACCTACATTAGGTACTTATTATGATTCAAGATTTTTTAAAATAAGATGGTAGAAATTAAGAATAAATGAATAATCTCCAGGATAAAGTGAATCATAAAGCTCATAGGGGATATGCTATTACATAACATATCAATTAGTATGGAATTTTAAAGGGTAAAAGGACTCTGATCTGAAGAGGCAAGCGCTGATTCATGTAAAGCTAGTGTTTGCTGCTATTTGGTCTACTTCCAAAATGAAATACTAACAAGCTTACCAAGGTTCAAAGACCTCATTTGCCTCCCAACCTCACCTGTTCTATTTTTTCCTTCACTTACTTGTCTCTCCCCTCTTCAACACAAATGTCTTAATCTTTCCCTAACACACCTGTCTCAGGAATTTGATAACACTGTTCCCATCTCCCTCAGTACTTACACAGTTGACTCTTTTATTTTAAATCCTTCAAGTTTCAATATAATTGTCACTTCCTCTGAAATGCTATTACTGGTCTCTCTACCTAAGCAAGTCCCATCTTTCTTTGCACCCTGTTTGTTTCCCTCATAAGTTGTAATTTGCTATATTTTTACAGGGTGCTTACTTGTTTATTGTCTGCATGGAAGCTTACTGGTAAACCTAGTGTCTGTTTTTACACCACTGTACATCCAGAGTCTAACTAAAGCCTGCTCACTAGTTGTTGAATGAATAAATTATAGGTTAAACATAAGCTTATAATGTGGAGTGAATAACATTAAATAACTAGTATTTATATATAATGTTAAGGCAACCTCTGACATGTTAATTTATCATATCTCCACTTGCGACGTCTCATTTTTCCAACATTTCTTATCATAAACAAGCTCCCCTTACAATAGTGACCAAAACTCATAGTTGTATAATCTCACCATGACAGTGAAGTCCAATTGACCTTGACATCACACTAAACCAGTAGTCACTGGGTCAAAGTAACCAGAGTTGATGAGAAAATGAGGAAGGATTATTCATACACTGGAGAAACTTTTGATTGCATAAATACAGGATAAGACCTATTGAATTCATATGGATATAAGCCCATTAAAACATTTTACATATTGAAGAAAAGGACCAGTTGAAAGAGATCAGGACACTGTGGGGCCTTCCCAGGGGAAGACCACCTCCCCCCCTGCCTTGTCCCCCACCTTTGTTTATAGAAAACTTTAGCTTCCTAGGCCTTCTCCCAGTTTCAAAGAGCAAATTTAATCAGAGAGGTGAGAAAATACAGAAACAAAGAAAAGCAGTCAAACAAGACAAAATAATAATAGTTTAGCTGTAAAACAAAGTCAAGGACCTTTGATTCCTCCTCAAGGGCTATAGATAATATCCTGAGCCATATCTTTGAGTTGTTTTGCAGATACTAAAACCCCCACCAGGTGGAAGAAGTTAACTGCATGCTCACCACCAGCGTGTAGACCCCAGACTGGTTGGAACCAGAAGGTTGATGATTGAGATTCCTGAAACATCACCCTGTTACCTCCCCATCAACCAATCAGAGAATTATGCATGAGTTGATCATACTCCCTGTGATCCTTTCCTTCCCACTCTCTTTAAAAATCCTTCCCTGAAAGCCATCAGGGAGCTTTGAGTCTTTTGAGCATGAGCTGCCTATTCTCCTTGCTTGACCCTGAAATAAATGCTATACTTTCCTTCACCACAACCTGGTGTCAGTAGATTAGTTTCTTTGCTGTGCATCAAGCAAGTAGGCCCAAGTTTGGCTCAATAACACAGTGGGGCATCCAAGGAAACTATTTTCAGGACAAAGATATTTTGTTTTCTTAAGAAAAGAAATGGATTGGCATAAGATAAAATTTCAACGTAAGCTGCAAGCACCAAAAGAAGTGATGCCTTCACTCATCGAAGTTGGACTTGCACCCACTGTCCAGGAACCATTTATATTGTAAGTCCCAGGCCTTCTTATTTGACTTAATGTTTTCAGACATTTAGAGGACATTGGGAATATTGAATCTCAGTTCTGAGGGGGAAAAGTTCTTATCATTAATTAATTGATTCAGACTGTATACTCTCCATGTGCATGGTGCTCTGTAAAGACCTGATTGCTCAACCCTGTCTTGTTATTAGCAAAAATCCATAGTCCTGAGCCAAGGACCACAGGTGTTGTAAAGACTAAGAAAAAGATCTGAAAACAGCTTGCTGCTTTGTGTCTGAGTGTTTGTGCTGATAAGGACATCATGCAATAAATCTTCAAGAGGATTAAGTTGTGTCCAACCTAAAATCCAGCATGCCTGACAGATCTTCTGCTCTTGCTTTTGCTATACTTTCCTAATGGATGTGGTGTCTGCTAGGTGCATCTCGCTGTTCTCTTCTCTCCATATACTTACATCTTCAAATTTTTTTTTTATCTATAGTCCACTCCTCTGAACGTCACTCTCATCTGTACAACTGCCCATTCAACGTTACTCCCTGGAAACATCAAAATTAACATCTGTAAAATGAACTCTGAGTTTCAACATCCCCCAAACTTTACCCTCCTCAGGTGTTTTCTACCTTAGTAAATGACACAAACCTAAGTGACATTCTTGATCTGTGCTTTCTCTCTCCGTATTCAGTGTGCTACCAAATCATATAAGCTCTATTTTCATGTTGTATTAAAAAATACTCGCTGTTCTTCACTATACATGGTGCAAGCCACCATCATGTCTCCTCTGCACACTGGAATAGCCTCCTAATGGTTTCCCAATTCTACTTCACATCATTTATCATGCATTTGCCACATGATAGCCATAATTATCCTTTAAAACATGAATCGTGTAAAGACACTCTGTTATTCACCATAGCCCCCATAACTTTCTGTTTCATTCAAAACTCAGTCCAAAGATCTGACCCTGACCTACAAAAGTCTACACGATGTAACTCTCTGGGTGCCAACCACATCAGCTTCCTGATATTCTTCAAACACACCAAACATGCCCTCCCTCCCTCACCACTCCCAGAATTGTGTTGTTCCCTCTACCTGGAGAGTTTTTTTCCGTATAGTCCCATTGACAGTTCCACCATGTAATTTCCCTAGTCTCCTCTTCAGAGACACAATTTCTTTCCAAGTCATAAAAAATGAAAAGAAAAATCACCCCTCCCTTTTGCTCTATCTCTGCTTTATTGTTTTCTATCTAACCTTATAATAGTACGCAATGCTGATACTACGCAATGCTATATGTTATTGACTATCCATCACTCTGTAGTATATGTTTCATAAGGAAAGGAATTTTTTGTTCACCTCAGTATCCCCAGCACCTGGAATAATACCGGGAACATAGTAGAAATTCAGAAAATATTTGTTGAATAAATACATTACTCCAGAAATGCACCCTAAATCTGGTTATCTCAGGATTACCAGATGGCTTTTATACCAACTAAATGGAGATTCCTGGGGAAATCCTCAGGCCACCACATAATTTTGAGAAGACCACGTTTCTGGAATTTTATTCCAGCTCTGGCTTGTTATTTGCTCCCTACTTGCTACTCTAATATGCTACGTGACTAAGTGTGGACACTAAGTAACCAATTACCTGCCTTTATGATTTTTACCCTCTATAACCTTATAATAAAGAAGAAGGCAAGGCAAACATTCATTAGATACAACATGGTACTATAGAATTAGATAACAATTAATAAGACCTACCAATATATATTTTAAAATTTCTTAAGTGCTTTCTCACTTACTTCCTATTATTCAATTGTCTTTAATATATTTCTAGGTCAACTTAATATTTCCTGTTTTCCTTTTATGAGGATAGTACCAGCTTCTGATGGTACTGACTTCTGGGTGAAAATGCAACTCTATCCATTTTATTAACTTCAACTTAAAAATGCAGACTTTAATTGCTACACAAAGAATGTGCCATATTTTCACCAGAGCTGCTGCATTGCTTGACTACTAAGCAAACTGCACTTGAAGCTACAACTAAATAATCTATGCTGAAATTCGGGTTCACATTGTGGCAATGGTAACATTTCATGATGTTTTGTTTTGCCCACCAGCTGAGTAGGGTAGTCTTGGGGAGAATTTTTAAGCTAATTAGGCCTGCATATTTCTATGATATCTGCAAACTTACACAACTAATTTTGCCTTCAGATTGTCCTAATTTCTCTCTAACATTCCCAATAGTCCTTTATTTAAGGAATGAATACAGGCTTTTTTCTGATGCAAATTGTCTTCAGAGTGTGCCTATACAATTAAATAGAATAGATGTTTGAGATATTTATATAGATTGTTCAAATTTAGGGCACATTTGTATGATTTTTTTAATGTAACATATATGTTACACACATATCTCATATATATGTTATTGATATGTGTGTATGTGTGTAACAAAATTCATTAATTCATCAATTCAATAAATACTTATGAGCACCTATATTACAGGCATTG